AACGGACTAAAATCTCAACTATAACCCGACAATAGGAAAAATGAGAAAGGGAAAACTTCTGATTGAAACAAAAGTAAATATATAGAAGAAAAAGAAACAAAAAGAAAGATTGCTTTGTTTTACAGATCATATTTTATATGATTAGTGATAAAATTAAAGTTAAGTTGATTGTAGATAATTGGAAATGTATCTGATATTTACTGGCTATAAATCTCCTGGGAAATCTTAGAAAAAAATCTGGACAATTCCTTTTATAATAACAAAGCTAGACTGATAAAGAGTGCCATATAGTTTTATCTTACATTTAAACAATGCATTTGGACATATATATTTTGGATACTTAAAAACAGTACATCCAGTAATAAATTGATTTCCACTCCGTTCTTCAATAACTTTTTTTTTAAAGAATCTTCAAACAAATTTGAAGGAAATTGAAAATTTTCACTGAATTTAGAATCTTTGAAAAAATTCTATTCAATTCCTTTTATAATAACAAAGCTAGACTGATAAAAAGTGTCATATAGTTTAATTTTAAGTTTAAACAATATATATTTTGGATACTTAAAAACAATACACCCCCAGTAATAAATTGATTTCCCTGCTTCAATAATTTTTTTTTAAAGAATCTTCAAACAAATTTGAAGGAAATTGAAAATTAAAAAAATCTTTCTGCATCTTTGAGAAAACGTCTTCATTTACAAAAAAAAAAAAGAAAATCCAAAAAATTTATATATTTATTTATTTATAAATTCGGCTAGATATTGATCAAATGAAGCTGTCTATTGTATTAATTTTTTTTTTTTTGGTTTTACATCGACAGCTTATTAAATAAATAAATCAATTAAATAAATTCCAAATAACATTAAAATGCTATTTTCTGGTAAGGATAATTGCTTCAAAAAAATATAAGAGATTAATTGTTTTTACAACTTTTTGCGTCTTCAGACAGCCCCAAGTGTTCCGAACAATGGCAATGTTCCATTAAGAACAATTTGGCGTCCCGCCCCCCGCCACCCACTAAAATGATAAGCAGAGTTCAAGTAAAGAACTACAGCTTGTTATGATTGGGAATATGTGTAAGTATGTATGTATGTACATATGTGTGGCTTAACAGCTCAAGAACAAATAAAGGTCGCCAGAACGAAATAAACATCCATACATACATACATAGTTATTCTAGCTGCGTTCTACATACAATATATTTGTTTATAAGTACATATGTATGTATGTATGACGAAAATTGTCTTTGACTGGCGGCCACAGGCTGCCAAACTGCCAAACTGCGAAACTGGCAAGCCGGCAACTGTAGAACTGAAAAGGCCAAAATGTAAAGGCAGTCCGTATTAGCCGTGGTAGTAGCAGCAACAGCAAAAGCAACAGCAACAGCAGCAGCAGCAGAAGCACGAGTCGCAGTCACAGTTGTGGGCAGTAATCGAATGCAGCTGCTGCTGGCTGTTGTGCTGTTGCCCGTCGTTTGTAGCTGCATGCGAGAGAAGAGAGTGGCATTTTGTGTGCTCTCTCTCTCCCTCTATCTTACGCTCTCACACACGCAGCGACAATGACGTTGAGTGCGGTGGCAGAGCGACTAGCAGCAGCGTAGTGGGTTGGGTTTGGCTAACTAGGCGGCCCAGCCTAAAAAAGATCGCATGTGTTTGTGTATGTGTGTGTGTGTGTGTGCACGCCATTTACAACAGCTGCAGCGCATGTGTGTGCAATTTCAGATGCGTCGCCTCTCCCCTCTCGATTCCATGCCATTTATGCCCACAAGCGACCCTTTTTACACGCGTCGTCGCCGTCGACGTCGTTGGTGTTGTTGCTTTTTTATCTCACTCGCTGCCAACGTCGCTGCTACTATGCTGCCTTTGCTATTTATCATTCGTTCATTCGTCGTCGTTGCCGTCGTTCGCTGTTCGTTCGTTGTGTGTGCGTGTGTGTGTGTGTGTGAGCTCGATTGCATTTTGTTAGGCAGTTGCTGTTGTTGATGTTATTGTTGTTGTTGTTTCTGCTGCCGCCTAAGGTGCAAGAGCGAGATGGGTGGTGCAGTGCCTCTATGTTGCTTTTGTTGCTGCTGCTGCTGTTGACGTCGTTTGTCGAAGCCACGCACATGTGTGTGGTTTGTTTTTGTTTTTATTATTACTGTTGTTGTTTTTGTTGTTTCAGTGAGGCCGTTCCGTACATACACACATGCATACGTACATATGTATGTATGTATGTGCGCTTGTCCATCCATTGGGCATTGCAAGCGCCGCATGGAGTATGCATGTACAAATGTGTGTGTGTGTGCGTGGCCAGCCTGCTGCCCAATGCCCGTGCGCGACGCGACGTTGGCGGCGTAAAAACGCATAAATGTTGATTACACAAATTGACATTTTTTTGTACAGTTATTCTGCCTTTTGCAACTTGTACATTTCGCTGTTGTTTTTGTCGCTGCTTTTGACTTTTGAGCGTCGGGGGCGTGTGTAAGTGCGCGCCTACATACGTAGGCTTGCTAGTGGTGTTGTTGTTGGTGTGTTGTCAACGCTTTGTTGTTGTATTGGTTCAATTGCAAATAACCAAACAGAGGGTCGCAACGTGAATATGTATGCTCGCTCACATGTTTCTATGTATGGATGTATGTATGTACATATGTTTTTACGCTTGTGACGTAGGCATGTGCGCTAAAAGTTTGCCTATGCCGATAGTTTTATTGTCATTTTTTGAATCTTGGCGACGTAATTTGAAAGAAAGGAAACAGTTAAAAGCATTCCTGGTGCAAAGGGTCAATTGCCAGATATGTAACGGTATTGTTTACGCACAAGCTTCTTGTTAGTGAGGAAAAGACAGAGAGAGCTTAAGCCATGTGCATTTTCAAGTTGGCGCTGCACTTTTAAATTTTTTAAATGACTCTCATTTGGATCTTCAATACGAATTCCTGTAAATCTCTAGATCTCTCTGCAGTCTGACAATTAAACATATGTACATACGTTGCAAGATAACAAAATGAGAGAACAGATGAAATAAAAGGAATAATATGTAGAAAGTAAATGAGTCTAGAACTCTATAATTTGGAAATGGAAAATACTTACAAATGTATAGTTTCGTTAATTTCATGTAATGAACATATGCATATTTTTGTGGAAACTACCTGTTTGTAATTAATTCGAAATGAATTCATTTCTTTTCATCCGAGAATGTCAAAAAAGTAAATTGAAAAGTTAAAAACTTCACCAGGTTTCGGTTTTAAGAATGTATTGTGAAGACATTTAACAAATTTTTAACAAGTTTTTTATAATTAGAAATATGTGGTTGAAATTAAAAATATAATATGTAATTGCAATGAGTGATCATAATATTGCAAACTGGATAGAGATAAAAATTTGTGGATTTAATTAAATCATTTGTGGAGAACTGTTTAACAAAAATTAAAGGAATTTGCCTATATATATATGTATTTATGTATGTACATATGTACATATTGGAAAAGCGAAAGAAATTGCGATTAAAAGCGGATGGCAGACAAATACATTATTCTTCTTATAATAAAATGATTTCGGAACATTATGTTGAGTCATCGATAATAATAAAACATTTTTAATACATTTAAAATTATTTTTATCATGAATGAAAAGGTCAGACATTCTGTATAAAGGGGTTTCAAATGTTTAATAATTAATAAATTAGTTCGCGTACAACTTAATCCGATTGAAAATCCCTAATATAATTTTTTAAAAATGAAATGTTTGAAAATGTAACTTCCTTCAATTATGCGTTTAAATTGGCTTCTGGTATTCCAAGTTGTTAAAACTCAGATGGAAGCAAAGTAGACGTCTGTTGTCATGTTTAAGATCTCTAATTCGAATCATTCATTCTCGTTTCGAAAGTCAATTTTTATTTTGTAATATTCTAATTTCATTCTTTCGATTAGTAAACCAAACCATTCTCTAGTTCCTTGAGTACCGCATAGGGATGCGTATTACTGAAGCACACTAATGTTCTTTATCAGGAGAACTGTTTTGAGTCTCCCAGAAAGCAGTTTGTCCTTAAAAAACGGGGCATTAAATCCACACTACTGGGGTTTTAAATAGGCGAGGAGGCAGTGACTGCAGCCATGAGTTGAAAGCAGACAGATGGGCCAAAAGAACTAAAAACTTTTATAAACATGTACATATGGCTTTTAAATTAAAGAACTAAAACACTTTGTACTTAAAATTTCCATATTTCTAGTCAATTTTTCTGTTCAATAATAAAAAAAATTAATTGAAGATCAATTTTTTTTCATTCTACAAGTATATACAATATCATCCCAAGACGGCATATGCATGTACAAATATGATTTTGAATGCAGAAAGCCTGAATTAAAAATATGTTGTGAGTAATAGATATGGTTAAGTTTTCTTCTTCTCATGCAATTTGTTCTAGGCATATTCTAGGCAGTCAGCCTCCCCTGTATGTTGAAGACCCAACAAAAGAATAAATCCGAACACGCGCATCTACTTTGCAACTTAAACTAGAACAACCTGTATGGTAGGTATGCCTAAAAAGTTTGCTATACCAGATGTACATATTTGCACAATATTCGTCAGAAACAAGATCTTCAAACACCCGTAAATAATTTATGTTTCGCCATATCTTTCCTTTCACCTCCACATCTCTTGCCCAAATTCCGCACGCCGCTATCGTTCATCGGAGCTGACTGCGCTGTCATGGAGGCCATCCGAACGCATTTCAAAGCTCGCTGCTATAGCACACCCGTTTCTGACAGTCGAATAGCGGCAGAGCTGTCGACTCTACACCAGAATCATATGTGTAAGCGATTTTTTTGCATGAAAACAATTACTGAAACTATTACAACTTTAATTAAAACTAATCTGCAATGTAACAACCTGAAAAATATTCGACAAATATTTAAAATGTAGTAAAAAGAGTGCATTAAATAACGCGTGATCATCCGCGGGCTGTTTGGCAACTCTACGCTGCTGACAGTGCGGCTCACATGCACACAATACATGCAAATAAACCGACACACATTCTCGTGAAAAAATTTTTTCGAGTTTGTTCGACGTTTCACGTTCATAAATTCTTGTAATAGCAACGAAATAAAATCGTTTTGTTGAGTAATTTGTGCAAAACAATTGTGGCTGCGTGGTAATTAAAACGTTTCATATATTGGTGAACGTGAAATACTCATAAAATTTGGTTTTTTTTTTTGTTCTCTGGTTAAGTGCTGTGATAGTGTTCAAGTGCAAAACAACAACAACAAGAGGCAGTCATCGCAGCACGGCCGAAAAGGAAAACGGCAGCTAGAACAGAACGTTTTTGCTGAAAAAAAGAAGAAGAAAAAAGAAACAGCGACCGCGGGAGTCTCAGTCTCTGCCTTGTCTAAACTGAACGGGTGTGCGCTATTTTGTGCGTGTGTGTGGGTAAGTGCAAATTATTTAATTGCAAATTGAAAATGCATCGAAAAATCTGGACACGGACACAGAGCTTCAATTTGCTTGCCCTTTCTTTGTCTCATACCCGACGCGTGACGTCGTCAAAAACGCTGCCGCCGCATTCGCTTGCGCATCGTCTTCAATTTTGTCTTTCTTTTTTTTTGCGTTTTGCTTTGTGCGTATGCCTGTGTGTGTGTATGTGTGTGAGTAATTTTTTTCCTTTCCCGTGCGTGTGTGAACAAATTTTGATAGCTTAAATGTGTGGCGAGCATTTGTATTTAATTGGTGGCCAAGTGGCTGTAAAACAATTTAGCCAACTTTAATAATGCGCCGAATATTGATTTTTCCCAAGCCATAGGTAGCGGCATGCGTGTCTGTCTGCTTGTCTACTATTTGCCCGTGTGTGTGTGCATGTGCGTACGTGCAGCGGCTTTTGCTTGTGTATGTATTTTGTGTGTGTTTGTGTGTGTGCTGGTAAAATGTGTTGTGCGTTTGTCACGTCTAAAAATCAATACATTTAAGAACAGTACAAGAACAACAAACTGCACCACCTGCCAACTCTGCACCCTCCCTTCCTCCCTTCTCCGTTCCATTGACAATCATTTGTAAATTACATTTGTTTGTCTATTTTAAAAATCGGCTCTGGCACATTTCATATTACTCTTTTGCATAATTATTATATGCATACATATGTATGTATTTATGTATTTTCTTGTGCTCTTCTTTTCTGTTATCATCTGTTATTGTTCGTTTGCTGGAACTTTCTTCTGTTCATGCCGCATTCAGACGCGGTTTGCAGCGCGCGCCATTGTGTCTTGTCCTCTGCCTGCCTCTGCCGCTGTGGTCTGCTGCTGTTATTGTCGACACATCTTATTATGATCGCACATGCATACAAAACAAATTAAATAAATGCGTATATAAATGTGTATATATACACATATATGAATCTAGAAAATATTTGGCATTGATCGGTCTCGATCGATAAAAATGGTATATAAAAAAAAATAAAAAATACATCAATTTTTCAAAAATTGCCACTCAGTTCTTTATTATTATTATTATTATTATTATTATTATTATTATTATTATTATTATTATTATTATTTTTTTTTAATCCTATTGAAATGAGAAAAATTTATATTTAAAATATATATGATAAGATTTCAAAGAAAAATGTTTGGAATTGGGTTAATTTTCTTAAGTGTTTAAAGAGATCTCTAAAGAATGTTTATCCAAAAATGTATCATATTTGTCCAGATCAGGACGATCATATAGATAAGCAGATGGAGTGCTGTGGATATTTCGAATCTGAACATTCTGTTCAAGTATCGCACTAACAGACTTCCCATGTCCGGTACTAGATATTGCATTTATTTCCGAGCTAGAATACTTAAAATGTTTTTTATTTGGAATACTGTATGTATGTAGCGATGAAACATACTAAACATTTAGTCAAGTTTAAGAGTTCCGACAAATTGAACTAATTTATTTGATATTTTTTAAAATTGTTTTTAGCGATTAAGCCCTTTTTTACTTTCAATATTAAATGAAATAATTATATTTGTAGTACATATCAATCATACCATGCATCAGATACCTGTTTGATGTTCAAATAGGTGTAACGGAACAAAATGCCCAAGTCTGTAAAACGGTAAATCGTGCGGAACTGATTGTCTAACTTAGCTGTCGTTTTTATTTATTATTTAGGGATAGGTCGGTTAGGTAAACATTTTAGAATTTCTTGAAAACCAATAAGAAGTCTACACTTTCTACTACAAAAACCAACCTTGGCGTTTATTTTTCAAAGACTACTCGTACTTTCAATGTAACACACATGAGTGTGCAAATTATTGGCAAATCTGACCTTAACTCCTACAAAACGTCTGTTTTATTACTATTTTTGCTCCAACCATCAATAATTGCTAAAGTCGATCTATTTTTATTGCAAAAAGGGCCGAAAATTGTTGCGAACGCAGCACGCCCCTTTTTCTATTGATAACTTTGCTCGAGATAAACAAAATTTTACTTGTAAAACATTATTGATAAGAAACTTCGGAAATACATACATGCTATATGGGTTCAACCACTATTCCATTTCTGTTTTTCGCGTTTGTCGTCTTTAATGTAATTTTATGCTCAAGTTTGTCTAAGCCTGTTAGTTAAAGTGTAGAGATTGTGTAAGCGCAAGCCCCAAATATGGCTATAAACACGATAGCAGCAATCTTTCTAGGGCTATTTTAAAAACTCAACTACCGTTTGGTATTACCAATAAAATCGAGATCATGCCTGAGACTACAACGTATCTTAAGGTCGGTCGAAGAAAGTTTAAAACATATTTGATAAGCACATGTGTATATATGTATATATCGGTATGCGAGGAACTAAGTATGTATGTATGCTTGTACGTGAGCTGTGAGTGTGCCTAAGTTTTTGAACTGGAGTGTACGCAAGTGTTCGATTTAATTTGCGCTGCTTTATTACTGCACATTAATTTTCGAAGCTTTAACCACAGGCAGCTCTTTAAAAGCACTCCACTCCCCTTTCACACATACGTGTACTCGTAGCTGTGGATACATGTATGCATACTTATCTGTGTGAGTGTGTGCGCGATATGCAAAATTTATTTGAAAAAGAAAGAAAATGCAACGCTGCAGTTGAAGCCACAAAAGCAAACTTTCCGGCATTTGCCGCCAACCGAAAGTGAAAGCCAAAGAAAAGCGGTAGCAGTAGAAGCGGCAGCAACAACTACAACAACAACAACTGAGCACCTGCCAAGTTCTATACACACACATATATATATATATATATATATATATATATATATATATCCCTACATGATGGTGTTGACTAACTTTTTAACTGTGTTTGGATGTGAAAAGTGTTTGTCCTGCTTGCTTCCTTACTTGTCCTTGAAACATTTTCCACACACACACACACACAAACATACTCAATAGCAACAACTTTGCCTTACTTGTGTTGTCTTCTTACCATTTTAGAGGACAGCAAATTGCAACAAGTCGCTACAACAACAACCACAACAACAACAAGAATATAAACCATGTCCAGCTTACCGCGACGCATCATAAAGGAAACCCAGCGTCTGATGCAGGAACCAGTTCCCGGTATCAATGCCATTCCCGATGAGAATAACGCCCGTTATTTCCATGTTATTGTCACCGGTCCGAACGATTCTCCATTCGAGGGTGGTGTCTTCAAGCTGGAATTATTCTTACCCGAAGACTATCCGATGTCAGCACCGAAGGTTCGCTTCATAACGAAAATCTATCATCCCAACATTGATCGTCTGGGTCGCATTTGCCTCGACGTCCTCAAGGACAAATGGAGTCCAGCCCTTCAAATTCGCACCATACTCTTGTCCATTCAGGCACTACTCAGCGCCCCAAATCCCGATGATCCGCTGGCCAACGATGTCGCCGAACTGTGGAAGGTGAACGAGGCTGAGGCCATACGCAATGCACGCGAATGGACCCAGAAGTATGCCGTCGAAGACTGAAGAGTGCGCGTGGACATGGACGTGGACGTGGAAGTGGGTGTGGGCGTAGGGGCGTGAGCGTTATCGTTGCTGTTGTCATTGTAGTCGCAAAATTTAGGCTTAGCGTAACATATAAACAAACACACACACACACCTACACACACACACTTAGTGACAGAAATGGTAGAAAAAAGTAGGAGTCAAACGAAGCGAACTTAGACAAGTGGGGAGAGTAGGGTTACAGTGACAGCGGACGTGACGTTGTGATGGTGCGGTATGAGAGTATGCAGGGGGCATGCAAAGGACACTAAAAAAAAAACAACAACAAACAAACGAAAAACAAATGATAGCTGATGGAAAAAAAACAAACTACTTTTTTGTAACAAATTTTTTTTTGCTCGGGCGGGTTTTCTAAACATAAGAGATATAATAATGTATGTATGCTTCATAACACACTCAACACAACACCAACACACAACACAATAAACATATACATACATTTTATAAAAAAAAAAACTCAGTACTTTTGTATACCAATAAGTCAGGCATAGAACGAGATGAAGCGTGTCCAATTAGGTTGTTGACGGTAGCGTTTAGGTAGGGTTTTAAATCACCATTAAAACATATTTTAAAAAATTAACAACTTTTCTCAGTTTACAAAACAGTCTGAAAGGCATAGCTGAAAGGCATTTTTCCTTAACATTTAGAAAATACATATGCAGTTATATTTTATCACAAAAGAGACATCTATACTCTTCTCAATTCATTTCGATTTCTAATTGTCATCAAGAGGATGATTTTAATTTTCTTTACACTCGTTGCGTTAAGTAGAGATTAACGGGAACTATCTTTGTTTAACCAAAATAGAATCCATACAGAAAGAACCCACACAGTACAAGATCTAAGAGTAAAACATTTTCTTACAACTGACCAACACAAAAACACAAACAAACAAGGGCGAAAAGCACGGTGACCTACACAGAAGGAGAAACAAAAGAGAAGCTTTTCTTCCTTCCCCAACCACAACACTAAAAATAACAGCTAATTTCCAATTGTCATAATGATGATGAAAAGGGAAGAAAACTGTTTTTAAAACTTTAACCTTACCCTTACCTTTTTGCATCGTTTTTTCGTTCAATAGAGAGATAGAGAGAGAGGGAGATGTGAAAGGTATGCAAAAACCTCTGATACTTCACATTCACAAACAAACTGCGTTTTTAATAGCTACACTCAAATATTAAGAGGGGTGCATAGTTTCTACAACTATATATATTTAGAGCGAAGCCAGCCACTGCCTCAGTATAACGCTGCCGTCGCGTCTTCAATTGGAAACTAAGTTATTTTGACAAAATATATGAAAAATGTTTTAAAAGCAATTGTGTGACCGTTTCATTATTATTATTATTATATTTCTTAAGTTTTATTTTGTTGTAGAAATCGTGAGGTTTTATTTAGGTTTCACTTTTCAACCCCTCCAGCATCCTACCATTACGAAGAAGAAGAAGAAAAAAGCCATGGTGAGTTTATTTGTTTCTCTCTTTTAAGAATAACCCCCCAAAAGAAATCGAGGTAGGGATGAAATCCCAAAAAGTAATCATTTTTTATTTACACAAGTTGTTGGTTCAATTGTTCAGATTCTTCACTTTGAGTTCAAAGGAGTCTTTCATTTTTCATCATCATCATACGAAAATAATGATACCTCCGAAAGGTGGACACACACACAAATCACTGTAACCAAGACATAAGAACACCAAGAAACAAATAAACCTAACAAGGATCTCGATGAGCAACAATTTTTAGGATACTTTCAACTTTAAAACCACATATTCAGAAACATATGGTATACCTATTACTATACTATATACGAGTAATGAATATCGATAGCTCAGTGTAGAACGGTGCTTTTGCGGTCCTCCTTAATTTTCAAAATTTTTTTTTGTATAACCATTTATGTCTTCTTCTTCGTTCACATACATAAACAAAATGTACGAAATTAATAAACAGCAACAACATTAACAGCCTTCTATGGAATTAGTACTTTATACATCTAACAGAAGAAGAAATGAAAGTAAAAACGAATCAAGAGAGGAATACAATTACATAGTTGATACATATGGCATATACATATATATATTATATATATTTATATACAAAACGTAAAATTCTAAAAAACGAAACGTATAAAATACTGATTAAAACATAAAACATAAATAAATAAACATTACTACATTGTCAAGCTGAGCGTTCACTTCTAAATAAACCATAGTGGGAGCGATAAGTAGAGGGATAATAGAAAGGGTGTTTTTTTTTTTTACATTTCTTTGAAAGAGGTCTAGAAGGAACAGACGAATAGATGTAGATTCTTTGGAAAATGTGGTAAATGAGGCACTGCATTCTGGAGGTAAAATATTTCGACCACTTCTCAATTATTTAATGTTGGCTTTTATGGCTAGTGGCCAAGTATTTCCAAAAGTGGTAGACCGGCGTCAGATTGTACATTTTTGGCCCATTTCCGGAGATAATGCATTTAAATATGCAATCAAATTTTCGATAAGCAATTTACATTTTGTGAGTGTTGCCATATTTAAGCGGAATATTTTGAAATGTGGCAACACTCAAGGAGTCGTAATGAGGCCTACCTCTGAACAGTTAACTATACATCTTGTTTCCACCCTGGCAGGCTAACAAAATGCCATAATTTTGAGGGAAACTATCGACTCATTGAAAGCAGCCGAGCTTGATGACAACATTATCTGTGGGGTTCTTTAAATCGTCGCTTCATCCGGAGAAGTCAACATCAAATGATTGAGAATTGGACCCAGGAGGGTTGTGTGGCTCTGCTTTATTTCAATTCCAAATTTCGAGGCCTCTTAAAAAAAAACAGAACACCCTTTATATATTTATATACAAAACGTAAAATTCTAAAAACGAAACGTATAAAATACTGATTAAAGAATTAAATAATTTAAATAAACATTGCTACATTGTCAAGCTGAGCGTTCAGTTCTAAATACCATAGTGAGAGCGAGAGATGGAAGAATAAAAAAAATATATATATATTATAAATAGGGAGAATTCTTGAAATAATAAGTTAGCATTTTTTTTTGTTTTTTTGATTATTTATAAACTTATATGAAGCATTACAAAGTTGTTTGATATGAAATTAGATTTTGGTTTTGATGAATGATGAGTTACAAATCGTTAGATCAGTTAAGATTTTCGATAAACATTTAAATGCATTGTACAATAAATAACAATCTTATGGTTTAAAGCGTTGGGCCTTGAACAAACTTTAAGCAATTACGCCTCACAATTTATCAAGCAAACGAAACAATTAATCGATATTCTCACACATTTAAATCAAATGGAAATGGTAATCGCAACAAACATGAGAAGTGGAATTAAAAACAAAAAAAAAAAGAAGAAAATTATGAAATCACACCAACAACAAAAAGAACAACCAGAAATTGTAATACAAAGTCAAAAACAGCTACGTAATTAAACATTATACAAAAATAATTATAAATATGTATTTAATTTTATTTTATTAAAAAGAAATATTTTTTTCTAAAAAATAAAACAAAAATATAAAAAAATAATTGAATGCTTTACTTATTTATATTTCGGAACACTGGTAAGTATCGATGAGGAAATATTGAAGAGGAAATGTTCATAAAGAGATATATTGATGAACAAATATATATGAGGCAAGAGCAAATTTTGATGAAGAACTATCAATATGGGGAAATATTGAAGAGAAACATCGATGCATAAATAATTAGGAAATATTGTTAAGGAAATATCGATGAGGAAATGTTAAAGAGAAAATATTGATGTGGAAATAACAGTATGAAAATTTTGATGAGGAAATATTGATGTAAAAATAATATTTATAAGAAAATATAGAAGAGGTTATAGAAGGGTCCAACATTTTAAATAATACTTGTAGTAATCTTTAACATCAATCTTCAGATAGTGGTGGATGATATAGTTCTCAATATATCAACTCAAAGCATCTATAAAGAGTAATCGTCACTATAATCTAGTATTACAAATATTACGATTACAATATTCTTGGCATCGATTTGGCAATTCAGCAAAGCTATTCTTAGCGAAAAAAACGATAGCGTAAGCCAAAAGTTTGACAGATCTTTAACGATCTAATTTGGTTATATAAACAATTTGAATTCATGTTGCTACCTTCTACTCGAAGGAAGCGCGCCAGGTATAGACATTAGCAGCATGACGGGACGAGTCGATTAAGAGTATTTAGAAATGTCCGTCTGTATGAACATCGATATCTTTTGAATCTTAATAGCTCGAGACACCAAACTTTGTATGCATACTTCTCTTATCTATATGCTTCGCAAGTTTATTATAAAGCATATGTAGTCTCATTGTTTAATATACTTCCAATAGGTATTTTATATTTAGTATTTATGAGTTTTGTGCAGTGCGTCATGTTATTCTGCACTTTCATTTGTTTATAGATATAACAGAGTACAAGTATATTTTTGTTGAATGCGGCACAATTTTTGGAATTTGAGGAACCCTGTTCTTTCTTGACCAAGATAGGCCTCAGAGCGGCCCCAGAGTGAGAAACTTGTTCGTCCACTGTTTGATTTTGTAGACAAATATTGCTGTGCTTGGCAGAACGTCGCAGATCTGTCAGAGGGTAACATTGCCCCTAATATTAATGGGTTTGTCATCAACCCTGACCCGGCACGACTCAACGACATCCTTAACGGTGCCAAAGTTCGCAGCGACATTGCAAAGGGGGCGTGAAATGAATCAAACGGCCAACGACGACCATATGCGATAACAAACGGATTGAAACTGCCAAACAACATCGGAACGGAAGGGGCTGAGTCGTAACTCGGCCCACCAATTGCTGGCCAACTAAGAATGTTGGTTGGTTCGGGAAAGGCGGCCGCCACATGGAATGCTTCCAACTTTTTTGGCAGCCAACAAACAAGTGAAATTATTATGTAAAATGAAAGGAAATGCCTTGAAAAGCCCGGGGAAGGGGGAACAAATGCAGGACGATTTGGCGGATCGTTGGTCGGCAGTCAAATTAAATCTTAAACGTAAATGCAGTATAATATGTTTAATGGCATTGTTTTGTTAAATGTTAGCGCTATAAAGTGGGTGCAGAGTACTCTCTAAACTATGTATGTACATATGTTATGAGTAGAGTGTACGTTCGTCTGTCCCTCTGTTCGAGTGTATGAACATCCATTTCTCGAAAATTGTAAGAGCTAGAGTTTTCCAATTTTACTTGAAGGTAGGTGAAACATTTGCTTGTTTATATCATGTTCTATATACAACTACATATTTTAACTGAACTTTTCGAAAATGTACTGCACTCTTAAAGAGGCATTTAAAAAAGATAAGAGATACAAGTTTGTATGATTGGTAGTTAAAAACTTTAAGTAAAATCAGGAGATACTTTTTCAACTAATGAAAAAAGGGGCGTAAATTTAAATATATATTCGTAGTATTGTTAAAATAAAGAAATACAATTGAATATAAAAAGTAATTAAATAAAGAAAAGAATCTGCGCTAAAAGTAGTGGAAAATCTCGGGCCTGTTAGGATTAAACAAGCAAAGTAAAACTCTTTTCTGATTTCGGATTATCGCTTTTTATTTAAAAAGCGCATTGGTTGAAACTAAAATAATACCGGTAAGAATATAACAATATATATCATGATAAATAATATCAACGTTTAAACTGAAAACCTTTAAAAAATTATATAAATAAGAGGAAAATTATATCCAAAATAGATTACAAACAAGAAGAAACAAAATCAAATATAAATAGAAATACCAAATACTGGAGGATCTCGCACCATTAACAATTTTGGCATTAAAAAATTATAAATAATTTGTTTTTGAAAGTTCTTTATTGAACATTTATTCCAAATATTCTATTTTACAGAAGAGTATAAGATTTAAACCGAATACTGTTACTATTCACAAATTTTACGCTCGAAAATAACATTTCAATTTCGCAAAATATCGATGAAGAAAAATTTAAAAAATTTTGTGTGTGTTTTTTTTAAAGTGTATAATTGGGTATTCAAACAAATCTTACAAATATATGCCATGTCTGTTTTGAATTGAATGCTCGAAACTGGAAATCAAAACGGTTATTGGACTCCCTTGGGAGAGCTCCACAAAATGCTATCGAGCTTGCTGCAGCCTGTGCGTTCGGCCAAAATATGGGTTGCTGTTGGTGTTGGTGGTGGGGGGGCTGGGGGTAGTGGTCGTAGAGTCCAAAATATTTGGCCACACCCATTTGCATGTACTGCTGATTGGTGCCCGCCTGCTCATACGTCTGTCCATTTGTCCATTTGTTGGTTTTGTGGTTGTTGGT